ATGGGAACCTAAAGCCCTTCTGCACTGACTGCTCATTCCTCTGGCTCCCCAGATGCCAGACAGGCCCTGAGCCCTCGCAGACCACGCTCAGACAGAAGCAGAAAAGTGGTCCCTTGTTTCTTATCACATTTCAGCTCAGAATCTAGTATCCAAAACTTTTCATTTTTAGCAAGCTGCTACCAACAGGGGGTGCTCAAAAAACAGAGATGGTTCACACACATCTAAAGAATTTGACAAAATTTCACTATTTTAAGATATGTTGTAGCTTTGGGTTTTGAGGCAAGGGGGAAAATAGACTATGTTTTTGTTGTTGTTGTTGTTGTTGTTGATGTTGTTGTTGTTGTTTTGCATTGGTTTGACTTTGGTACTAAGGACTGAAACCAGTGAGCTACATCTCCGGTCCATTTTTCTTTTCTTTTCATTTTTTCTAAAGATAGGGTCTGATCTCACTAAGTTGCTGAGGGTCTAAGTTGCTGAGGCTGGCCTTGAACTTGTGATCAGTCTCCCACATTGCTGCGATTACAAATGAGTGCCACTACACCCAGCCAAGTTTTTAACTAGTTATGATGATGATGATGTACTCTATGCTTAGTTGGAGAAATTAGAAAATATAGGCAAGTAAAAATAAAAGCCACTCACAATCCTATTGTTACATTACTCTAGAATTGTCTCTTTTTCCTCCTATGTATTCAATTTTTAATGAGATTATTTTCTACTTAGAATTCTGTACGGTGCTTTTCTCAGTTAAGCCTGACAGGCGATCATTTGATTGCTCCTTCCCATGATAGCTCCGTCTCTAGGTTATACCCAGGCCATCTTAATTAAACTAAGGGCAAGTGTTCAGAAGACGCTTGAATGCTGTGTTATTTTGGTCAGGGTAGCCTGGTTTTATATACAAAATACCCAGATAACATGTCAGTGAGAGTCTGAAGGTCTCTTGCATCCTCCTACCAATAGTGTACGCACCAGAGCTGTGGGACAACTTTGGCCTGGCACAACAGGAAGAGTACACACACTGCCCCCACCACCAGCCCAAGTGTGGTCACTGCAGGAAGCTCAGGATCTACCTACAACAGGATCTTTAGTGAAGGCCTTTGGGGTAGAGGTGTAGGAAAAATTTCTTACTGTTTTATCTCCTGATATTTTCAGGTTCTATTCGTAGTTGTCAATATCAAGAAAAAGACTGTTTTAAACTCTATTTAAAGCTCTAGAATTTATTCAAATCCCAGGACCACCAATTTCCTACTGTTAATTACCTAAGTGTTTCAGGTAATACCATTACTTTGAGAATTAGGATTTCCATATGTGAGTGGAGGGCCTGGAGGACACAGATGTTCAGCCCAGAGCATTACCGTGTTCCCATCATCTCTTTCCTAGACCACTGCTAAACCAGAACCATGACAGCCTTTCATCTTCCCTCCATAATCCACTGTCCATACAGTGAGTGGCACAATCATGACACTCCCTGGTCTAAAACTCTGGTGACTTCCCACTGCTCACAGACTAACACCCCACCTCCTTATTATGGTTTATGAAGCCCAACAGGACCATGTTGGAGGGGACCTAATACCCCTCCAGCTCCCTATCACACTCTTAGCTCCCTCCCTAGCTTCACCCCAGAGACCTCAGTCTTTGGACTAGTCTCCATTCGTGCCAAATCCACTCTTGCCTTGGGGTCTTGGCCTCTCTGGTCCTACCTTCTGTCCTGCCTGGCCCTTCTGCTTCCTCCCTCCAGGGCTGACATTTCATCCTAGCCACACTGTGAGCGAGGGTACCTGCTTGGTCCCTTTTTAATTGCAGTCTCTCCCATAGATTCTGAAACACACAGGGTAACGATTGTGGCTGCTTTGTCTACACGTGTACATATCCAGAACTCACTGCCAGCCCAAAACAGATCTGCAGTAGAAACTCAAGTTGAAGAGTGAATAGCTGCCACTGTTTACTGTGGTCCAGGCAACATCCCAAACGTCTCCGCATGCAACAGCATCAAGACTTTAACAACACTCGTATGTGCAAAAGACTCGCCATCTTTTCCTTCCTACTGAACCTTAAGTGAGTAGCAGAGTCTGAGGCATGAAAGTGGGTCCCTGTAAATGTCCCCCTTGAAGGTGTGATGGCCAGATGAGATCAGGGCCAAAACTTACCCATGGGAAGCTGCCCTTTAGCAGTCTGAGTGTAAATGTAAATTAACAAGATGCCACACCACTTCCATCACCCTGGACAATCGGCAGTTTCTGCACTCCCAACACTCAAGGAACACTTCAGTTCTCTGCCACCTAGTGCTGACCACAAGGAGAAATGGTCTGTGGTTTCCACTCCACCCCTTGAGGTGGAGGGAGAATCCAGGTGAAGGGAAAGTTTGGGACTTCCTACTTTGCACCAGTCAGTGTACCGCCACATATCCAGAGGGATCTTCTCTTTTTTTAATATTTTGTTTTAGTTATCATTGGACACAATACCTTTATCTCATTTTGTTATGTGGTACTGAGGATTGAACCTAGCACCCCACACGTGCTAGGTGAGTGCTCTACCGCTGAGCCACAACCCCAGCCCCCAGAAGGATCTTCTTAAAAGCAAAATACTTTCTACCCTCAACCAGCACACTTATATTTGGAATGACTTATGCCTAATCAGAAAAAAAAATGGTTCAATAGTCCTTGGACTGACCTGGACATACTAAGGGACAATGTGCATGGAACTGACCTTATTTCACCCACTGTTTCGCATCCATGCCTCGAGAGTCTAGTTATTTTGCACGTAGCAAGCAGGCCAACATTTAGGCATGGCCCCCAGAAAGGCTGGAGGAGAGAACGAGGAGAGGGACAGAGGCGGGAGGGAGTTGGGGGTGGGGGCAAACTCCTGACCTGCCCCCATCAACACCTGCTGAGAGTCTGGGGGGACCTAAGACCAGGGAAACGTGTCTCCCACTGAAAGTGCCTCAGCATGCCCTGCTCAGTGTTGCAAACTGTTATCCTGTGTCCACATTAACAGGACTGTACCTTCTGCCTGTGTCTGGTGTTATCTTTCTTTCATGCTATGGTCACTTGTGTGACCACTATGCACTTCCCCTCACAAGAAAACAGTGAACTAGAGAGGCTGAAGCAGAAGGATCCCAAGTTCAAGACCAGCCTCAGCGACTTAGCAAAATTCTGTCTCAAAATAAAAAACAAAAATGATTGGGAATGTAGCTTGGTAGTTAAGCAACCCTGGGTTCAGTTACCAGTATCAAAAAAAAAAAAGAAAGAAAAAAATACTGAAGGTAAAATTCTGTGTGTGTGTGTGTGTGTGTGTGTATACACCCACCTATCCACCTACACACACACACACACACACACACACACACACACACACACCTGTGCAATGGTTTAAAGGCAAGACCGTTTTAATCACTTACCTATTTCCATTACATGCTACCGCCTCATGGCACCAGGCCTCTGCCTGCACGATCCTGCTCTCCCAGCCACCCCCCAAACCTTCCTGTTCCCCAGCAAAGCCTGCACTTTCATGCCCTCCACCTCTCCCTTCTACCCCACTGCTAAAACTCTGTATCTTTAGACTCCACTTCAATAGCACTGTACTCGTACCTCCCCCACATCCCTGGTACCCCTTCCTTTACACCTCCTCAACGCCTCTGGCAGGTTGAGCGTGGGGTTCACTGGCTTCCGAGACACACAGGCCCAGGCCCCTCCTCCTAGGCTATCTCCCCCATAAGGGAGGGCTCCTGCTCCTTCCTCGCCTCCCCACATGCACAAACTCTCTCTCCTCTCCTCTCTTCTCCCAGAGCAGGGTGGGTGTGGAGTGTGGATCAGAGAGCTCTCCCGTAACAGCTATTGAGTGAAAATGGAGAGTTGCTACGTGGAGACGTGAAACCCCACGTTTCCCCATGTTTTCACACTCTAACCTACTGAAGACGTGGTTTAAGTGTGTTTCTTGTTCATCCCTTCTTATCAAAACGTAAACCCCACAGAGGCAGAGATCCTAGTCTGTTTCATTTCTGCTGAACCCTCAGTCTCTGAGCTGTGGCGCCTGCCCCACAGCAAGCCCTCTGTCAGTCACTGCGGCATGAATCTGTCCCACAACAGAAGCATCTTGACATGCCAGCAATTTGGAGATCCCCAAATCCATCAACAAAGGAGTAAAAATCCCGAGAGCAAAAAAATAAAAGTAAGAATCCTGGGAGCCAGGTGTGGTGGCACCGGCCTGTAAACCCAGCAACTTGGGAGGCGGAGTTGGGAAGATCGTGAGTTCAAGGCCAGCCTTGGTGACTTAGCAAGACTCTGTCTCAAAATAAAAGTCAAGAAATAAAAATCCCGGGGACTTGCCCAAGGCCGGCATGCCTCCACCAAGCAGGTACCTGCCCATCTGCGATCCATGCATCTGAACCTCTGAGAACCCACAGCCATGTCATCTGAGCCTCATCTTCACTAAATCACCCGGCATGTGTTATGGGCTGAACTGTGTCCCCTTAAAATTCATATATTGGAGGCCTAACCTCCAGGACCTCAGAGGGTGACTGCATTTGGAGATGGGATCTTTAAAGAGGGAATTCAAGTAAAATGAGGTAAGATGGGCCCCAATCCAGTGTGACTGGAGTCCTTAAAAGAGATTAAACAGAGACGTGCACAGAGGGACAACCATGTCAGGACACAGGGAGAAGCCAGCCAAGGAAAGAGGCCTGCTGACATCTCGACCTCTGACCTTTAGCCTCCAGAATTGTGAGAAAATAAATTCTTGTTACTTAAACTATGCAGTCTGTGGTATTTGTAATGGCAGCCTTAGAAAACTAACTCTGTGTGGAAAATCCCAAAGGGAATCATGTTTTTGGTGGGAGGGGGTTGTTTATTTGTTTTATGTTGTTGTTTTTTTTTAAGCCTACCCCAGGCAAATATAAGCCAATAAACTGCTTGGTAAATAGTGTGAACATGAAGTAAAGAGAGAGGGGGAAATAAAAGAAAAAAACAAAGGCATAATGTGTTGACATTTTGTATATTTGGTATTTGTAAGTCTTTAAAAAAATTTTTTCAGGCCATTTTTTTCCTTAAAAAAAAAAAAAGCAACCAACAGCAATACTCTGTACAAGTATAACAAACATTAGAAATATGCATCATTCCAAAATAGTTACAAGAAAATTACAGTTTAGAGTCCACATCAACATGTCCTATTCATATGTGCCCCCAAGGGAGAAAAAGCTACAGTATGTTAAACACACAACTGCTACACAGTAGTCTGAAAACTCAGAAACTTGGACTTTTGAGGCAAATCAACATCAGTCACCAAGACTTTGTTTTAGCTCATCAAGCGCAATCAAGCATTTCAAAAAAAATAAAATAAAATAAAATAAAAATCAAGCTTTTTCATCCCACATGAAATACAAATATGAATCAGCTGCATAGTTGACCCCACCCCACCCCCACGCCCGAGAGCCTCTGACTTTGCCAAGTACAAATCCAGTGGAGTCAATTATGTCCAAGTCTGGTTGGAGGTCACAATGCGGCCATGGGGAACAGACACCAAATGTCACTTCCCACTGGTGCCAGTCGTTACTAGATTCAACTTTGGAGGCAAAATGTTTTTGCTCTTGGGAGAAGATATTAATGGCCCAAGCCCCACAAACCAGCTGGTCACCAATCTGTAGCCCTTTCATGGACAGCGGATCACACTGGCTGCTTTTCTATGTGCAACTGTCAAATACTGAGCAGGCAGCACAAACCATCCCCACGGTCCCAATGGACTCTCCAAATTCTAGTTCATTGTTCCTGGGAGGGCTTGGGACAGAAGCTCAGGGCACCGTGGTCTTATATCAGACCCGCTCTCAGCCTGTCCTTACTATTTACACATTCATCTTCCCTTTCCAATGACAGTGCTATAAATACACTGGCCACCCCCAGTGGCTGGTCCCCAATCCTTCCCAGGCTGCAGAGCATCATCATGACCTTCGTGTGACCTACCCATTTGGAATTCCAGACCTCTCCACCTCAAGCCTTCCTCCTAGGATCGGGGTGACGTCGGAGAGTGGCTTGCTGGGGCTGTTGCCCAACTATTTCCCAAGCTCACGTCAGGCAGGGGAAGGAGGGTCTCTGTGCTTTGCAATTTTTACACAAGATGTTTACAATTATGTTGACTTAATCTTTTGAGGGACTCTGATATTCTAAAGGACATTTTTAGGGGCAAGTCTTTCCTCTGGTTTTTCCGTGGCAGCAGTGCAGACAGAGCAGGGCTTAGAAACTACAGTGGGATTTGATACTTCAGGCCCCCACCATGAGTGGGAAAGGTGTGGCCCAGAGAGTGGCTATTGGGACAGGGAGCTCTGAATGGTGCCTGGGACTCTCCGCAGCCTGCATGAGTTGGGGGCAGATCAGTGTGAAGGTGCCGGAGCAACAGACCCAGAACCAGCTCCACCCCAAACCCAGGGACGGTGTGGCTTTCCTGGTCCCCACCTACAGAGCCACAGCCCTCTGTGACATGGAGTTAGGAGGGCCCAACCTGGCCTGTCCACCTCATGCTTAAAAGCCTGATACTGAATGGACTGCTTACTACCTAAGAATGCAAAGGATTCAGCAAAAAGTGCAATTTCCATTTGAGAAGCAAACTCTCCCCAAATCATGACACCACCATGACCTCTCCTTTTAATCCTTTCAGTACCTCACAGGGAAAGGGGGACAAAAGACATACAGCATGAAACCTCTGAACCACATCGAGGGCTTTCAGTACATTGAGGTTCATCCTATATCACCCTAAAATACCCAATAACATGTCCAGTCGCTTCTCAAAGTGCCAGTGAGGTGAGGAACATGGCAGCATCGGGTGGCAGGATCCCTCGGGCCCACAGTGACCAGGGAGGCAGAGAAGTCCCCGCTCCCATTCTCAACAGGACACATGGTCCTGAGTGTGCAGCAGGATGTGTTACTGTGGGACACGGCCACAGGACTCCAAGGACTCGGTGATTCCTTCATAAGACCTTGTATACTTCATTGCCTATTGGAAAACAAACTCGAAACTTCTTCAAAATATAACCTGAGCCACAATATAAAAGAAACAAATCCTTTCATGTTAATGCCTTGAGAAGTTTACAGATGATGTACCCATAAAGTAAACCCACATAAATTCTGAAATTCTTGGTGAATACACACCTGAAGCCAAAAAAAAAAAAAAATTAATCTACATTAAAAATCAAAGTAATTACAGCAGCAGTATAGTGAAAAGAGGTTTTAAAAATAATAATTACATCTTTGATACAAATCAGACTTTGTACACCTCAATTCATAGGAATGACTGTTTTAAGAGTTTAGTATTTATATGTACAGTAGATACCGATATGTGTCACTGCAGATAGGGACTAAAGCCAGTGGACTTTGGGGGAGGGGGATTCATCTGACACTGAATTCACACCGAAGTGTTCACAGATTGCCACACTTTAAAACACACACACACACACACACACACACACACACACACACACATACACAGACATACAGACACACACAAAATGCCAACCTGAGTAAAACATTACTAAAAACCCAGAGCATCATGAATCACTAAGTCACATATTGCACCTTTAAATAATCCTTCTTACCAAAGACAGAAATGAGAGAAGGGTTGAGACAGGGACAAGGAAAGGATTTATGTCACCGTAGGATTCCTCTGCTTCTCCCATCCCCACCCGCAGAAACTCTCACTGTGATATTTTAGTTTCCATTCTCACCCAACCAATGGGCTGAAAATGTTGCCAACAGAAGTCTTTGGAGAAAACTGGGAGGGAAAAAAAAAAAATAAAAGCAAGAAAGAAATGGAGCACAGATGTCCGTAGGGGGAGGGAGGGAGCAAAAAGAGGCCTCCTCAAGTTGGGCGAGAACAGGAATGTGAGCGAGAAGGCGAACCTCGGATGCTAAACTATTGTTTAAATATTCCACATACTCCAATTATGAGATTCGATACAAAAATAGAGATATCTACTGAGTTTTGCCTGTGGAAGCATAATTCAGAAAAGGCACATGTTCAAATAGAAAACTTATGCGGAAGAGGCACCGCATCCCCCTCCCTACACAATTATCACCCACAATTATGTATTTTCCATCAGCTAGATTCCAAGATACAGTAGGTAAAAATAGACCTCTGATACTTAAAATATATTCAACCCAACACAATCCTGGCTTTAGCATGTGAATCATATAAAATAGTCTCTTTTAAAAAAAAAAAAGAAAGAAAGAAAAGAAAAGAAAGAAAAAGAAACCTGTTTTGAAAAAGAAAAAAAAAATCGTAGCTCACTTTTCCTGATTTTCCACAATTCTCAAAGAAAATAAAAAAGTGAACTCATCCCATTGGTAACAGGAATGCAGTTGATTTGCTCACCCCCATCCACAGCCCCTGAAAGCCCCAGCTTCTCATCTGCCACGTTTGACATGCGCAGCTTCACACCCTCCAGAGTAGTTCTAACAGAACAGAACACAGAATTGAGATAAGAGACGTATGAAGACATGTCAACATCGGGGCGTTTTCCTCTGCTGTGGGTGCGTCGGTCTGGTTAACTTCAAAAAGGATCTGCTTTGGAATTAGGCGATGTAACCATTTGTTTTTCCAAACATGCTCACTGGCTCGAGGTTTTCATAGATTGTCATTGCAGTCATATTCTGGTAGATGAGATTGACTTTGGAGTCTTTCTGGGATCTGATAATATCCAAAACACACTGATTGAGGAAAACATACTGGTCCTGAGAGAGAAAAGGAGAGAGCCAATGAGCACAGGTCCCAAGATTAGCACCCAAACTACTTTCCAATACATCATCCCTGTCACCAACCACCCAAACTCCACCCCACCCAATGGCAAGCAGCGAGCAGGTTTTAAGAGGTTCACAACATTCTGGTAAAATCTGAAAGCCCAGACAGCAAGATTTCTGCATCAGTGATTCTCAACCAGAGAGGCACATTCCCCCCTGCCCTCCCCATGGACACATATCGGAATCCTGGGGAAGGGGAGGATGTGGAGGAGATAATGCACAGATGTCCAAAAAAATAACAAGCCCAGCAAGATTTCCTGGGCTCGGGAAGCTGCGCAGCAGAAGTAAATCATAATTCTCAAGATAGAAGATGGGATAAAGGAGTGATGAGGTGAAAAGCAGTGAGAACTACATCAGGATCTGCAGGTAGCCATGGGGGAAAAATGAAAGAGAGAGAGAGAGAGAAAGGACTAGGTTGTGGCTCAGTGGTAGAGCGCTTGCCTAGCATGTGTGATGCACTGGTTCTTTCTCACACAAAAATAAATATATAAATAAAAATATTGTGCTTATCTACAACTAAAAATATATCAGAGGAGGAGGAGGAGGAGGAAGAGGAGGAAGAAGAGGAGGCCAGGCACTGTAGCACATGCTTATAATCCCAGTGGCTTGTGAGGCTAAGGCAGGAGGATCAAAAATTCGAGGCCAGTCTTGGTAACTTAGAGAGGCCCTAAGCAACTTAAAGACCCTGTCTCAAAAAATTAAAAGGGGCTAGGGGTGTAGCTCAATGGTTAAGCACCTCTGGATTCAATCCCCAGTACCAAAAATAAAAAGAGGTGTATGCCAACACAGAAAGATAACCATAATCCTGTAAGGAAAAAAAAAATGAGGAAGCCTTATGAAGAAAACAGGATCCATTTTTTTCAAAATACTCTACTCCTTTTGAGTGAGTGAGTGAGGCTGTATATATACTGAGGAACATAAAGTGGCCTATAAAAGACATATTCCAAACTAGACCCATTGACAGCCTCCAGGAAGCAAGCTTGGGGAAGAAAAGGGAAAAAGGAAAAATATACTCTACAAAGTCCTATATTGCTAAATTTTTTAATGACTAAGTACTATTTTCAGAACATAAAAAAAAAGAAAAGAAAAAAATCCACAGGCACAAGACTTCTGTATTTCTTAAAAGAACACAGAGACTGAGAGATAGATGACTCTATACAATTATAGCAGAAAAATGAAACTCAAATACAGGAGATAAATGTTCCTCTTTTCATTCAATGGCACAGTTCACCTTGAAGCACACAATGTACCTGGGCCTCCAGAACATTCCCTGCTAGACTCAAAAACACAGTGCATATTCAGAGGGTTCTAAATTGGTACAGGGCAACAGCCGGATACAAAATTAATATTCTGCTCTCATCTTGGTCAAGGCACATCCATCCCTTAGAGGAAGGCTAGTCCCCACTGTACTGTGACGAGAACATGCCTTGAAAACACTGTCGATCGGGAACATTTCGGGGAAAACAAATCTAACAGTCCTGCACACGTTCCATGGTACACAGTCAACGTTCATTTTTCCCACTGGCCGTCACCTCTGTATCTCTTGACAACTAATGTTCTTTAACGGCTACGAGGATGGGTGGGGACTAAGTGCTGCATTAATGCTTAAGCAGAATCATGCTATTTCCTAGCTTTCCTGCTTAAGACATCTGTTTGGTCAGCTTACTTTAAAGATGTCAGATCTTCTTAGAAAAAAAAAAAAAAGTGGAAGGATCAGTTTTACTAAAACCCAGACACCAAAGTTTGGAGACGTGAAAAGATTATTTGATAAGTCAGAGGCAGCACGGTGAAGGATCCTGACACTATCCAGGTAGTTCCACGACTGGGATCAGTGCCACTACGTCACTTGTATCAGGTCATTTAATTCCACCTCAGTTTAGGATTTGCAACGAAATTCAGTGTGACTCCAGAGCCAAGAGCTAGAAGACCTGGAAAGGTGAAATATTCTAATGCAAGCATGTGACCCCATGCCACCTTGAGAAACAGATGGGCAGGGCAGAGTGCCCCGTCACGGATCCTGGCCTCACCTCTGTCTGCACCATGAGAGGCCTGTGCATCCGAAGGTCATACACGATACCATACACGTCCACAGTGTTCTCGTTCTCTATCTGATAGATGAGACGGTCGATAGCAATGAAAGTGCCCGTCCTTCCAACCCCAGCACTGAAAGAAAGGGACAGAAGCCCATCACCGTGGTTTGCTTCAACTGTGGACTTCCAAAAATGCCCCCATTTGTTCTCATTTCTTGTTCTTCTCCACTAGCACTGTTAGAAAGCCATGGCCAGGATCAGCCAATCTTGGCTCAACTGAAATGGCAGCAAGTCAGGATGCACTAGCTCGAGCCTAAGGCCTAAGTCCCAAACTCACTTTTGAGTTAAATGTCTTAAATAAAACACCTTGTCACAGAGTCTCCACTCATCCCACTCTAGTGGCCACCCTAACCTAGGAGAGGACCTTTCATCTATTTATTTCCCCACAGAGCAACAAAGCCCCTTTTCCTTTCTTCAGCCCCAAATTAATTCCTTTAGCTTTAAAGTTCACTTCTTATTGTTCTAGAGAAGGAGTGGGCACACTCTTTCTGCAAGGGCCAAATAGCAAATACGTTCAGCTTTGCAGGCCGTAATAGCACTGTGCATGAAGGCAACTATAAAAGATATGTGAACAAATGGGCTGGCTGTGTTCCATTTTATTTGTAAAACAGGTGACTGATCACAATTGGTCCACAGGCTACAGTTGGCCAACCACTATTCAAGCACCTTGGAGCTTAGGGAATCAATTCAGATCTTTCTTGAATTTGTAAATGACTACTGCAATCCTTTATGCTGTTTTCGTGAACTGCTCATAAATCGCATGTGGAATTGTCACACATTTAGTGCCATCTGCATACCTGCAATGCACCAGAACGGGTGACTCAGGAGGACTCTGCTTCATGTAGTCACGAACAAGGTATCGGAAGTTGATGAGCAGGTCCGTGGTGTCGGGTACGCCGTGGTCTGGCCAAGAGGTGAAATGGAACTGTCGCAGCGGGTGACTCTCACTGGTCTGGATCTACAAGACAACAAAGGGGTCAGGTTCAGAGACAAGAACTGTTTGACAATGTCGCAAAGGAGAGCAGAGCTTGCTCACTGCATGCCTGGGACAGACAACAGGCACTGCAGCAGGAGTGGGCACAACCAGAGAAGAACTTCACAGAGTACCAACGCCTGCTGTGGACCTTCCACATCCTTTATCCTCATCAAATCCTCATAACGTGCGCACGAGGAAAGGGAGAGTCAGAGGAAAGTGAGTGGCTTCCCCGACATTCACCTCAGAGCCAGCCGAGACATCTACTCCTCCTCCCGTTCCGATCTCTTCTTCCCTTTCCAGTTGCTGGCCAACAATGGACTCACATCTTTGAACCTGCACCTCCTGAGAGATTCACAAACCCCCTTCCTAAGCCCACCTGGGGACGTCGCTGACCACAAAAACCAAAGGTAGTTTACCCAAATAAAACCATGAGGATCCACGCCTCATAATTCATCAAGGTCCTCCAGAGACTCTAAGAGAATGGCAGGCAATTAGCAAGCGCCAAGCAAATATTTACAATTGCAGGGTTTTGAGAAAGGTTCCTGCCCACCCTGCCCACTGCCAAAATCTATTTCAACATCTAATAGACAGTAGAAACTGGGTCCTGTTCCAACAAACTAGTTATCATGCCTACTGATTTTCTACCTCTGACCAAACATGTACTTTCAAGTATCAGAACTGACCCAGCTACAGCCCATGACTGAGCCTTGGCCTCACCAAGTGGACTCACAGCTGGACCGCAGGCATCCCCGTCTCTTTTATGAATGCTGTCCTTGGAGGCTAACGTTTTACTCTGTATTTATTATAAAAATCAATGATTTCACATTAATCAAAATTTTGAAAACAGTTGGAAGAAAGGGCAAAGTGAGGTGGAGCCTCATCACAAACAAACTTAACATCCCCAAGTTTCACCAAAAGTCCTCATCCAAAGAAAGGGGCTAGCTAGGCAAAGTAGGAGGAGAGAGAGGGACAGAAAAAGAAATCAAGGAAGGAAATAGTCCTCACTGTTATTTCTGCAGAGGGGCTCAGGTTAGGGGTGGTGGTAAAAGGAAAACTCTTAGCTGTATTAATGCTCTCATTTTTTTTAAAGGAACATGTATTCGTGCATTTTATAAAATTAAAAGAATAATATTTTACTAAATGCCATCTGGTAACCTGGATTGGATTCTAATATAAGAGAAAGCTTTAGTGGGAAAAAAAAGTGAAATCTGAATTAATCTGGAGTTTAATTAATGAAACAATAATGACAGCCATAACAATCTTTTTATATGATGTGGGCAATTTGACCCACAGTTCCCCTCCACAATGGCAAACTCCAAGCAGGAAAAGCAACCAGAGATAAGCCACTCAGTTTAAATGGGCAAAGCATACAGAAGTAAGCAAGGTTTTTCAACTATTAAACCTAATTGTTTAGGCAGCCCAGCCAGTGCCTGGTAACAGCTTTGACAACAAAGGAGGAAGTAAAATATTAATTGAGCCTAGAATCTTTGAGACACAGCAATAAGTAAAGAATTAATATTTATTATCCTGTGCTTTACCTCTGACTTATAGAACCTTCAAGGATAATCCTTGTCAACTAGAATTTAACACCCCAATTCCCAGAAGAGTCGGCACCACTGGGTCTGCTGCCCGGCTTTTCTTCCATACACTTTTCATAACACTCATAAGATTTCATCTCCTCAAGTGTCTCAGTCACATTATGTTCTAACATCTCATGATGACAGTCATCCCTCAGCAAACCTTGGGGGTTCCAGGACCCCCACAGATATGAAAATCCATGGATGCTCAAGTCCCTTAAATAAAACGACACAGTATAAAATGACATAGTATTTGCACATGACCTACACACATCCTCCTGAACACGGTCATGCACAAAGTTTCAACAGCAGACCATGTAGAAGATATTGTGTGTGCAGGACCTAGGAGTGCAGTAGTTTGTACCATCAGGTTTGTGTAAGCACACTCCATGTCGTTCACAGGATGACACACTTCTCAGCACCTACCCCTGTCATTAAACAACACATGACTGTACTTTAAGTCATCTCTAAATTTACTTATAAAACCTAAACTATAATATAAATACTATGTAAATGGTTGTTACACTGTATTGTTTAAGGAGTAATAACTGGAAAAAGAAGTCTATGCACTCAGTGCAGATACAACTTTTTTTCCTAAACATTTTTTGATGGTAAGTTGGTCAAATCCATGGATCTAGAGCCTGGGTATCAGAGGGCCAGCTGTATACATACTATGTATATGCATCATTTCAAATAAGTGAGTAACAATATAGTTAGATAAGTCAGAGTTTCTCCTTTCTCCAAAGGCTGGGCATGTGCACAGTTTCCATCTTTCATCCATTATAAATAATGCCCAGACTCATCTTTATGACTAACAAAGCCTATTCCTGTATTTCCTACTATTTCTTTAGGGGAGAGACTTAAACTTGGAACCAGAAGATAAAAGAGAATAAATTGCAAATAGTTAAATCCATCTACACAGCCGTCAGGAAGTATCAGTGTCATTTCATGGCATGGCCTCTATTTCAAACACTGTTTAAAAAATAAAAATAAGAACACATAGACTTGATGTCCTAGAACACCTGCACAATTTAATTGGATTTGTGTTTGTAACTTTTTGGGGAAAAGATGCAATGTGCATAGTAGAGAGGCCCTGAAATCCTATTAATATAACCCTTATAAACCACTCCTGGGCTGGGCTTGTGGCTCAGTGGTAGAGCACTTGCCTAGCACATGTGAGGCACTAGATTCGATCCTCAACACCACATAAAAACAAATAAATAAAATAAAGGTATAAACCACTCCTAACAGCAATTGGCACCCCTGATGACATATTCCCAACCAAATAATCCAAAAGGCTTCAGTGTGTGACAAAAACTCCCTGAACAAATCACCTGGAGGAGGGAGGAAAGAACTACTGATGCAGGGTCATGCTCTTAAGACTCATTTTATTCAGGAAAAATTCACAAAATTTCTCTCGAGAAAATAAATACAAGGAGTTGCCTTTGAGTGTATTTACATAAGAATACCTTTATTCTGCAAAATAAAGAAAAAAGAAAGAAAGCTAAAATCGTTTTCCTGATTCAAAAAAAAAAAAAAAATAACCTAACAGTCAACATCAATCTAAACGTACACCCCGAAATCAGAAACTGCTAGCTTTTTAAGATCTATCTATTTTCACCTCTTACTTACATTTTTCACTGTGAAATCTCTGATGGTCCATTCCGGAAGAACAATTTCTGATGTCATTGCCACAGTTATGTCCCCATAGTCCTGGGCCTGCTTGGAGGGCCAGTACTCCTCACATTTTGTCTGAAATAAAATTGCAAAATTGCACTTTTCATGAAAAGACTCAGATCACATCAACTACTATCATTAAAGCCTCACAAGGAAAACCAGGTAACAGAAACCGGCATGAGGGACAGAACTGGTCCCTTAGCAGGGCTCTGGATTGACCCTCTCTGGCTTTTAATTTATAATTCTTGTCAACTCCTTTAAAATGGGAGCTTTCAGACTTTGTAAAAATCAGACCTGCCAACACTGGGTCATCATTTTCTCTCCCCTGCCACCCCCAGTTTTACCACTGAGCTACATTCCTGGCCCTTTATAATTTTTATTTTGAGAGAGTATCTTGCTAAGTTTCCCAGACTGACCTAGAACTTGTGCTCCCCCTGCCTCAGCCTCCCAGACAGCTGAGATCACAGGTGTGCACCACCGGGTCCCATCATTTCTGCATTTCTGATTTAGAGCCAAACACCTGCGATCTCTTGACATTGGGACACAATCCCCATCCAGTTCCTTTTGGCCTTTCGAGGAGCCACTCCACGACAGAGCACTGCACTAAACTCAGGTTGGCCCATAACCCCAAGCAGCCCAAAGAAATGAGAACTATTCCCAGCACTTGTAGATACACCCCATTTGCAGTCCAAATACACACAGCAGTAAAGGGGATCAAGTTGAATCACACTGAGATCTTCGATTCTGATAAAGTTGGTGAGCAAATGTAAACAGAAATCAAAACTAGAAAATAACTGCTCTTCAGGAATAGCTGAATCCCCATTTGGCAAATACCTTACACACCAGCGCACAAATACACAACTTCCCAAGGTGTGTTCACTTGCTAGTAGCTTCAAACTTGACTGATTATCTGACTTATCAGAGAGGTTTGTTTTGTTTTTAAAAACAAATGCCTGGGTTTCCCCTCCAGAGATATGACTCTGGCTGGGGAATCTCTGCTTGTTTTTTTTAAAGATCCAAGCTTCAAGAAAGAACTCAAGACTGGGATACATTCTAATACAGATTGGATTCCCAGTTCAGCCTCTTATCAGCTGGATTCTGTTGCTACTTTGTGAGCAAGTTATAAGGTTCTCTGAGCCTCAGTTTCTCCCTCTTTAAATAATGATAATATCTCCCAGGATTGATCTAGGAAAACCATAATAAATATGGCAGCAACTTAGGCTGTAAACAACTTAGTGAGACCCTATCTCAAAATTTTAAAAAATAATAAAATAAAAAATTGTTTAAAAGGGGGATGTGGCCCATGTGGCACCCCTGGGTTTAATCTCTGATGTCAAAAAAAAAAAAAATGCAATTCTAATGCAGAAAATGCATTGGCTTCCTTTCCCTTTGACCCAGTCAGTAACACCCACTTCTACCCTGACCTAAGACGAATGGCCCATCTAAATTCATCTTCATGTTCTCCACACATTTAACTATTCATTTTCACTTGTCTAACAGTTATGATAATATTCCACGGACAAGGTCCTGGGATCAGCAGTACTGTAAAGTTTATCTGCATTCATAAAATGACGGTTCTTTCATGCCCTTAAGAGCCTATTGTCCTGATGCAAGAAGGAATGCAGAACCCAGCCCTGCGTATCACAGGCAACCGGAAGCCGAGCACCATCACCTGCCGACCCTTGTGATCCCTCCTGCTCCATGACCTCCACTAGCACAGGAGCTTACCCACACTTGAAGCTGGATAAACATCTAGTAACTTTATGTTTTAAAGAACTACTTAATAATTTAGCCACATTCCTAAGATACACTCATAAGATAAAAAGAAGAGGTTTAAAAAGCCTCAGTATAATGTCTATTATGAAATAATAGTGTGTGTGCATTTATACACATTGACAGAAATTTTACTTTCAAAAATAACCAGAAAAAAAGAAAAGTGAGCAACCATCCAAAACTTTTTTTTAAAGAACATTTTTTTTTTTAAATGACAGCTGATGAGTTCCCACTATCACCTAGGATGGTACCAACTTAGTATGCACCGTGCATCTGTATCACCTGGCCACTGCCAGAAATGCTGTTCTCAATGAGAAACTGGGGGTAGACCCACCTTCCAGGTGATTCTGAAGGACATCCAGTGTGAGAACCACTAGCTTAAGGAATCCATTCCTATTCCTCAAGAAGTAAAATCTACATTTTTTTTTTAAATCAAGAATGCAGCTCAGTGGTATGGCTCATGCTTGGCATGTACAAAATCCTGGGTTCAATTCCCAGCAACAACAGCAAAAATTCACAGAGTAACATCAGGCACCAAAGTTTTGAATTCAGCACGTTTTTCTATTTTCTTTATATCCACTTAGGGAAACACAGAGTCTTATTAACAGAAGAAATCTTATCATTGATGGAAACAATAGGAGGATTCCAGGACACCAGGAAGAGCTGCTGCTGAGACTTATCTGGGGATAACGCTGAGATTTTGCTTCAAGAAGGGGCCTCACTGATAAAAATCTAAGTGTGAAAATCACCGAATTGGTGAAACCTCCAAGCTGAAAGATAAAGAAGCCTGCTACTTACTGACAGGGTGCACACAGCTGAGTATGGAGAGAACTATGCATCTCTGTTATAGTTTAGATATACAGTGTCCACCAGCTCCTCCTGTGTGAGACAATGCCAGAATTCTCAGAGGTGAAATGATTAGATTATGAGGTGTGAGCTAATCAGTGGATTAATCCACTGATATGGATTAAGTGGGCAGTAATTTGGGCAGGTCAGGTGTGGCTGGAGGAAGTAAGTCACCAGGATGTGCCTTTATAGGGGTTTATGTTTTAGTCCCTGATAAGCAGTCCCTGAGAGCTCTCTCTCAGCTTGATGGTTGTCACGTTCTGAGCAGCTTCCCTCTGCTGCGCCCGTGCGCCATGATGTTCTGCCTCACTTCAGGCCCACAGCTGTGGAGTCAGCTGCCCATGGACTGAACCTAAGAAACTATGAGCCAAGATACATGTTTTCTCCTCTAAGTTGTTCTTGTCAGGTCTTTGGGTCACAGTGATAAAAAAAATTAACTGAAACAGTCTCACTGGAGATTTTCCACAGCACTAACCCAACTCTTGCTATTTACTAACTCCAGCAGCAGTGACTTAATGAATTGAGGATGTTGCTATTTGTACACAAATGAACATAATGAAAAATCAGATGTTTTTCAAGATTAAAAAAATATATGACATGAAAATCAACAGAGAGACTTTTAGAGGAGAGGAAGGGAATCTGGAGGAGGAGGAAGAGAGGCTAATGGGAAAGTGAACATAATCAAAATGCTATCTGCGTGTACAAATATGCCACAATCAAATCCATTATTCTGCATAATTAAAAGACTAATAAAAATTAATAAAAGCTTAAAAGAGAAAAAACTTTTTAAGGAATAAAAGGAAAAATAAAGTTCTAAGAATAAAGATAGTAATATTTAGGAGGAAGGTTTTTTTTAAAGACATAGTTGCACTACAATTAAAAAAAAACATTAATTAATTTCATTTGATTTTTAAATTTTTAAAGACTTACCCTTCCCTGTTCAACACATTTGGTCAACATCACAATGGCATAGACATTTTTCTCCCAAACCATGCGCCAAAAATCCTTCAAAGTGTTGGGTAAAGGTCCTTGTGTGGCAATAAACTCTCTTTTGGAATGGTAGCCCTAAAGACAGGAAACACATACTCAGTGTCAAAGAAAACAGAAAGGAACACTCTGATATTTCTGTCGTAACAACCCAGGACTATGAGCCATCTGCCGACTTACTGGCATGTAGTTGGCATTAACGTAGTCATCAGTGGAATGGGTCTGGACTGAAAGTTTGACTCGAGAAATATCATCTGTAACCATAAAAGGAGAAATCAAGGTCCACGTTAGAAGCCAGCGTTTTAGAGAAGTTGCAGACATGAAAGAGAACAGGAGTGCAAGATCCGGGCCGTGTCTCTTGGAAGAGGAGCAGCTTAGGATCCTCTACACCAGCTCATTTAATCTCACGGTCATCCTGTGTGACTGCGGCATGGAGGAGTTACACGGTCGCCCAAGTAGGGCTCATAAATGGCACAGACAGGGTTAGAACCCAGGAAGCCGGACACCAAGGCCCCAGCTCCTAACCACACCAGTCTCCCTGCTCAGACAAAGCAAGAGGCCGCAGGTGTCTGCCATGAGCAGAGTAGGAATTGTACTGGGCAATTTTTTTCATTCCTCAAAAGCACCCCACAAGCTTTTACCCTGTTTTACAGAAGAGGAAACTGGGGCTTATGAGTTGAAGTGACTCATGGGAGTCTTTGTATCTGGTGAGCAGCAAACAATGCAAAGTTAATGCCTGTTCTACCACGACAGGGTACACGCCCAGGTAAACCTCTTCCACCCTGCCTCTATCCTTATATAAAAAGGTTGTTATAAAAAATACTAAGTTCAAGAATAAACTGAATGTATAAGACTACTATGCATAGAAGTGTCAAAGTACTCACGTTTTCTAACTATGACTATCATTTTCAAAAGCATGACACACAAATTTGCCTGATTCCCCAGCAGTGAAATAACCTTAGAACTCCAAGAGTCAGGACAGGCCTTGAGTGGTACCACCGGGGCTGCCCTGTCTCTGCCCACACCCACCTCACCTTCTCTGGGACAAAATAACACAGCAATGTTAAACCCAGTGACCAGTGTGAGTCTCAGTCAAAAGTCTTCCAACAGAAACCATACCCAGACACCAAATTCCCAGCCCTCGCTCCAGATCCGAAACTCTGCACAGATGTTCACAAGAGCAGGCTGATAATCTGAGGTGGCCTCAGAAGCAGTGCTAGGGCAGCTCCCCCCAACCCAGACTAAAAAGATTTTTCTCAGAAATGGAGTCAATACTCCTTGTCAAGTGTAAGGGGAGGAAATGAAGAAAAAAGAACCCAAGAGCTAGAGAAAAATGCTGAGACTAAACTGAGAAATTCATGTTTTTGTCCAGGAAAGAGAAAACATGGCTTCAAATTGAAAAGACAATGTCTCTAAATAGCCTGATGTACAAATTACCCACAAGTCTGTCAGTTTCAGCTAAATCAGAACATGGCTGCCATCCACCTGCACTTCCTTCTGGGCCCTAACTAACCCCCATCCCCAAAGAGAGACCACAACCCACTTTCATCTAACAGCTGATGTAATAAATGATTCTCCTTTTAAACTCAACTTGCTGTTTTCCCTGTTGGTTGTGTGGCAAACATGGGTAATTCTTAAAAATAGGAAGAATCCCACACATAACTCATATTTAGCTGTGGAATGTGCTTAGCCAATCAAAGGAGTGTCTGGACGAGCAGCAAGTGCAACCGGCCTGTTATGCATCTTCCCACCTTCACCCTGAACTCTACAAATTGAAATAAACAGGCTGAGAGACAGACAGCGGGGTTGAGAGCACAAACTCTGGTTTTCCTTGAATGAGGCTTGCAGCCTGGTCCAGAGCCTGGTTTTGCCCTTCCTGCCTGTGTGACCTTGAACAAATCACCTACACTAGGTGCTGCGTTTTCCGCATCTACTCATAGTAGTTCTATACATTCAGTTTATTCTGCTACCCAATTCACAGTGTGATCATGAGGACTCAATTAAATGAGATGTCCCTGAGAGTAGCATTGAACATACAATAGGTGACCACTGAATAGTTCTGGAATGTGCCTATTAGTTAGAGCCACTATGCCCCGACCCCGTTAGAGAGGTGCCGGCCAGCAAGAAAGAAGGGAAGGGCGTGTGGGCGAAGTCTCTTACAGGGCAGAACGTTATTATAGCGATTCTTTCCTCTGTTCTCTGCCAGCTCAGCCGCATATTTAGGTAGACTAATTCCAACAAGCTTCAGATCCTGAAAACAAAATGAATGAGTTGATTATTCAGTCTTCACATATGATTACACTGAGAACAGAGTGTGGCAGGACCAAGGGGGAATGCAGAGGTGATCATTTATCTGTATCCCCCAAAGGTATGCTGAACATCCAACTTCCAGTACCAATGATTAGTGGCATCTAACTGGAAAACTCCATAACTATTGACGTCATCAAATTAAAATGAGGTCACGCTAGAGCAGGGTGGTCCTTAATCTCATATGGGTGTATTGATGTAAGTGGAAAAGAGGCAAAGAGAGACTCACACAGGCAAAGGAGATGCCACGAGAAGATGAAGGTAGAGATCAGAGTGACGCTACCACAAAACCAAGGAACAACCGGGGCCACCAGAAGCTGCAGGTTGGAAGCGAGGACCTTCCCCTAGAGGCTAAGTTGTGCCTAATCCCAGTGACACAGGATGCTGAAGCAGGAGGACTACAAGTTTGAGGCCAGACTCAGCAACTTAGCAAGACTCTGCCTCAAAAAATAAAAAGGGCTGGGGGCTTGACTCAGTGGTAGAGCATACGTTTGTTTACATAAATACATTTCTGTGGACTTTAGGCCCAGAAAACCAACACACAGCTAAAAGAAGAAGAAAAAAAAGGGCCAATTCCTGCCTTTCAGGGCTTGCAACCTAGGGGAGAAGTGTAGACAGAAATCGCCAACATGACAAGACAGAATTGAACAAACACTGAAGGTGGAAAACAGCAACGTGCCACAGGTGGAACAAGGCAGTCTGAGGACAGACACTGCAAAGGACAGAGAACTGCAAGGACAGACAGAGACTTCATGTTCCCCCAATGGGATCTGAGGAAGGGACATGGAGAAGGGAGTGTACTGTGAGCTGTGCCAGGTGGCGAGCAGGGTCTCGGGGGTGTAAATGTGGAGGACCAGTGTGCAGGGATGCTCTGAGCAGGGCAGTTCCAGGGCTGCTCTGGGGGGCAAAGGCAGGGATGGAAGTCAGACACTGGCAGTGAAACTGCACATAATCCTCCAAGTCAAACTTGGAGACCTCTCAAAGCCCCATCTGGTTTTCTTTCCAGCTCCTACAGTGTGCTAGTTATTCTATTCAATAGTCCTCTAACTTGAATTCCTAGTTTCTGTACCCCTCTGCGTAATCCCCAAATATCAAGATTAAACACATGATCTACCAGAAGTGACAGTCAGTCCATCTGAGCTCTCAGGGTCAACAATGGGATCTCCAGGGTACAGGCACAAGTTTCAGCCCTCTGACATAGTCACCTCTTACACAAAGCATCACCTTAACACAAAGACAGGTCCAGACACTCGGGAGAAAACACAAAGCAATGGAAAACACAACATTTGCAACCACGGACCTCATATTCCTCTGCAAAGCCACAGTTGGAGTCGGCTTGCTGTTTCTTAAAGTAAGCCTCAAAATTCTCCACTCTGATTAACTTGGACCTAAGAAAACCAAAAAAACAAATTATTAGCATTGCGTTTACATTTGCAGAAGTTCATACTAAAAGTAGAAAAATGTAAGTCATTAAAAAAGGTGTTACTCACTTTTTAGGTCTTCATCACAGAAGGGGAAAGAAAAAAGTAAGCAATTAGAAAGACTTGCTAATTTGGAAAGTAAAAATCATCTCAAAAGAACAAAACACAGGACATAATTTGTTGGGGGGAGGGTAGGATGAGGGCTGGAGATTAGAATAATATTATTCATAAATCACTGAACTGTGAATCAGGGAATCAAACGCTCTTCTATAACTGATCATATCTCTCCCCTTAAATCTAATAATTCACTTAGTTTTTTAAAGAAGAAAATCACAAAGTATGTGTTTACTGATAAAACAATAGAACAAAGCAAGATGCTAGCTTCAGATTTCTTGTAGAAAACAGCCAGCAAGAACTTGCAGATGATCATAGCCAACTCTGTCAATCAGGAAAAATGACAGCAAGTTCCATCAGGAATTCTTTTGTTGCTGAGCAGATTGGGGGATTGGGTGTCCTAAAGTAAAGCTGATAACTATAGAAACTTACTTAATTTGAGAAAAGGACACGTCATTGTTCTTTGCATCTTTCCTGTTTAGAAAGAAAAAGAGATCCATTAGACAAAATAGGCTCATTCTGCATTTCCCCCTTTCACACCTGCACTAAAGCCTTGTCCCTGGGCCTGGGTTCATATCAGACACTAAATCCTGCTCACTAATACCAAACTCAACAGCCCAAGAGCAAAAGCTGGTTACAAATCTGGAAAGTTATTCTCTTTTATATTCTGGGAAAGTAGGTGGAAATCTTACTCAAGAAACTGTCAGGAATTTCCTTGCAAATACATATCAGTGGCATTTCTTTACTGAAAATCAAGACTTGTTCATACTCCCATTTGTGTGAAGACCTGTCTGGTAAGTTAACGTGATAAACCAGAAAATCACGTCAGACCCAGAGCTGCCATGCTGGTGGGCACCCGCATTCTTCCCCATTGCCAGCTCAACTCCATTCTGGTGATTAAAATACACTTTCTGGAAGGCAATTTGGCAGACATGTACCAAAATTGAAGACATGCATACCCACTAACCCAGTAATTGCCCAGTTTGGAATTTAACCTCAAGAAAGAATCATGAGTGTGCCCAAGGATATGTAACTATGGCCAAAAATTAGAAACATCCAATAAATCAGTTAAATAGATGGCACATCCACACAGTTAAATATTCCGTGGCCACTTGAAATAATGATGAAGCGAAGCTGTCCACTCTGTCTTACGTGGATGTGGCAGGCCAGACACTAACATGTAGGATATGACTCCACCCATGTGTGAGCTTTGTAAGCACATCAAAATGGTAAGAAAAAAAAAAGTTAAGAGCAGTCTTGTGTGTTTCTACAATTATGGATTCCTTTTTTTTCTCTCTCTTTTTTTTCTGTTTTTTTTTTTTTTTCCCCTTGCATTCATTTTATTTTTCAGTACTGGGGATTAAACTCTACTACTAGGCTACAGCCCCAAGTCATTTTTTGAAACTGAGTCACACTAAGTTGCTGGGGCTGGTCTCAAACTTGTGGTCCTCCTCTCTCAGCCTCCTGAGTCGCTGAGATTATAGGCATGAGCCACCACAGATTAGGCCTACTCTATTTTTATAACAAAAACACTATAAAGCTGTTTCACCCAGCCACTGATCTTTCCTTCCCAAAATTTAAGAACTGTGAGCACTGCCATCATCTCAACAGTGCAAGGTAGCAGCACCAGAAACCAGACACAGGTCACATTAAAAACCCTGGGTCAGGGAGGAAATCCCCTGGTTGACGGCACCTGGATGCAAATCAACCCCAACACCCAGGTTTCCCACAATCAGGCAGGAGGGTAGGCGACAAAGTGCAAAGACCACGTTCAAGTTACGTTCTGCACCTCTGCATTCATGGAATGGGGCTCACAAGATCTGCCTCTCCAGATCCTTGGGAAGGAAATAATTCATGGAAAGCACAAACCCAAGCACACTAGGGGCACCTAAAACAGGGCTGCTATTTTCCATCACTACTTAACCACCCACAGGGTGCTTACACAGGTCAAATACCAGCTCTCGAGGGATAAGACAGTGTGCAAAGCACTTCACCTTCCAAGGCTCCGCAGCCTCCAGAGCTGGGCACGATTGTTATCCCCACACTACAGAGGAGGCTGCTGAGGCTCAGGTTCCCAACAGCAGGTGAGAGGGGGATCCTAGGTTGGAACCTGGCTGACTCTAAAAGGAAACCTCTGACCACTACCCCGTGGAACTGCCTGTGGACTAGAACACTCTGAGGGAGCACAGCATCCTACGCCGCGGGGTTCACCAACAGCCCAATGCAGCAGCCAAGTCAGGCTGAAAGGAACAGGGCGCTCTCCCAGTGACTCCTTCCAACCCTGGGATGTCTGAAATTTCCCACAATAAAAAGCTCCCTTACAGAGTAGAGTGTTACAATCAACATAAACAATGTCACCTTTTCTTCCTCCAGAAGATGAAGCCTCCCACAGCCACGATGACCAGGGCACCAAAGATACATCCAAACACAGCTCCGCAGATGACACCTGGGCAAAGTCCAAATGGGAGGCACTTGGAAAGGTGTTCCTGCAGGACCCCCAACAAGCAGAGAACTGGCCAGGGGCCTCATAGCACAGGGTGGGGGGTATGGTCAGAGTGCCAGAGTACACGCATGTGCATGTATGTGCACACGCATATGGAGCATGGTTACCTATCTTTGGACCTTAAACTAGTCCAGGCATTTGGAAGCTAGGCTCTTTATCCCCATTATTCCACCACTACCTGGACAGTTGTGAGAAAGGCCTAATTCATCTCCAGGTCTTAGTTCCTCAACTACAAATTTAGGGAACTGGGCTAGATCACTGATTATCCTACCACTTTAGGGTTTTTGAGCCCAACACCCTGTATGAGCAAAAAACACTTTACGGCACCATGCTAAGGTGATGTGGATCTCTCATTTACTGGGGAGGAGTGGGGACTCCCCAGATTTTGCTCCTAGGGAATTCTTTTTTCTACCCAACAACTCCCAAGTAGAAAAAACAGACAAGTCAATTTGTCTCTGGCATGAAGGTGGGGGAGGTACCTCCCTTAGGTTCCTGAAGCTCCCATACCACTCAGTTCTACCACGATGGATAGCAACACTTGACAAGGAGTCCAAGGCCAGAGTTTCAGGCCTCTAAGCCGCTGTGTAACCCTCGGGAAGTGACTTTCCATCTCGGGGTCTTAACAGCCTTGTTTCTAAAACAGATTGAATGAGGCAATTTCTATGATTCCTTCTGATGCAAATATTCGAGAATTCTATGCACCAAAAGTCACACAGTGTGCCCAGCTACTCTAAGATCAAAGGACTAAATAATCTATGCAGATTGGAAATGCAGCTGGCTTTTCGAAAAGGGAGAGTGAGGGACAAGGGCTGCTGGGGACCTCAGAGTGGGGAAAGCTGAGCTGAGCCCAGTGAACAAGTGACATCTCCACTTCTAAGAGGGGAGAGGCAGGCACTCCCACCCCCTGGGGTCCAAAGGAGGTGGACACCGGAATTGATGACGGAATTAATGACGGGACTCCTGTCTTTCCTCTACCTGGATCCTGGGGCAAGAAAACCGCCTCTGAATAGGGACCAAAGGTCACGTAGCTCTCAGCTCCGTTGATGAGTCCATCACTTTGAAGGTTAAAGGTAATATTGGTGAAGCCAGCAACACAAGCCCTGTGGATGACAAGGACCACAATCAGGCACACAGAGCTCTGTATTCAGGAGGCTCGGCCCCAAACACAAGAACAAAGGGCCTCACCGGTAGGAGCCCAGAGGCTCCAGCTTCCCGTTGTAGTAGCCGTGGGTGGTTGACTCATTCCCAACGTTGATCTCGTATTTCAAGACCTCAGACAAGCCCTGAGAACGTCCCTTTTCTTCTGTGCTTATGAAGTACGTCACGTAAGTGTTGGAGGCCCCGTTTTTGAAATCCTTATATGTATACTTCAAAACATCTGCGGAAGGGTTATCAGCTAAGAAAGGCACGGAGAAGGCAAATCGTTAAGTGACAGCAGAGACTTGAGTCTCCCGTTCGCCTACCTTATGACACTGACGCTGCATGCCAGTGGCCTCTCACTGTCGGGCTTTGCTTACATTAACTCACTTCACCCCCACGGATCCCATCACAAAAGCTTATTATCCCCACTCTATAGACAAGAAAATAAAAGCACAGGTAAACGGACAGGGCCTGGCCCAAGGTCACAGGGCCCCCATGGTCCTGGATTTCTAAGCCAGACCATCCGGCCCAAGGCCTGGGGTCCCGTTCGTCACAGGCCAGTACTGGTCAGCAGTGCCACTAGGCAACATCAGCACCCTCATTCAGCAAAGGTCTGAGCCGTGGGATTTGTTGAAAACCCTCCCAGCAAAATAAAAAAGAACTTGAAACAGACTCAAAGAGAGAAAGAGAAAAGAGAGAGAAATGTGTCTCAACTCTGCTCTTTTAAATTTTGGAGCCAGCAAACTTTTATCTCCTAGGATCCCTGCAGAGTGTGTTTGGTCCCCGTCTTCTTCAAGGAGATGAGGACAGCACCACAGGCTGAGGTACAGGGAGGGCAGAGGTGGCCCTGCATTTTTCACATGAAAGAATTGCCCCAAACAACAAAGCTTGGCATTTTAAATTCAGGCCCATGCGGTGCCCTCACAGGCAGCAACTGAGGACACTCTGTCATTCCCTTCTGACCACCAAGGAATGTAACGGAGCCCCCTAAGGAAAAGCAGCCTGAATCCACTTCTGCAGGGATGCACTTTGCAAAGGAAATCGTTTTCTGTTTTCTTTCAAAAGAAAGTCATCCTTTAAGGATGATCTGGATGGGAGGGAAGATAATATTGGTTAAGACTAAATAACATTCTGCCTCTAAAAGACCCTGTGTTGCAAAAGAAAAGAAAAATCTACATCAGAGGTTGGCACCTTATGGTCTATGACCCAAATCTAGCCACCACCTGTTTGGTAAATAATGTTTAAGGAGAACAGCCACCACCATCTAGATGTCTCTCCTACTACAACGGCCGAGCTCAACAGGCAGAGGCTGTAGGGCAGGCAAAGCCTGATACATTTGCTCTCTGGCCCTTCACAGAAAGTTTGCTGACCCCAGATCAAGACCATCAGGCCAACAGCCAACTCCCGCTCTGGGTGCCAAAACAGGGGCTGAAGTGTGAAGAGAGGCATGTGCTTGTGTCACTAGTATGCCCCAGTGGTCACGGCATCTCTCGCCCACCGATTTACCCGTGGCAGCCCCTCCTTACCTTCCCCAGTGGTGAGAATGACAGCGTAGGCTTTGATGGGTCCGTGGCTGGCTTCAAACCCACTGAACTTGACCTTTACTGAATTATGACTGACAGATGTAATATTGGGGGATCCATCTGGAGGAGGGGGGTCTGAAAGAAAACAAACCAAAACCAACGTGAGCACCCAACACATAAAACCAAAACAGGAACAAAAACATTCCTTAGCCAGAAGCAATAGCCCATGCCTAAAATCGCAGGGTAGCCTCGAGACAGGAGGATCACAAGCTCAAAGGCCACTCTGAGCAACTCAGCAAGACTCTGTCTTAAAACTTTGAAGGAAAAAAAAACAAAACTTCAAAAAAAGAACAGGGGAAGGCTGGGTTGTGGCTCAGTGGTAGAGCACTTCCTTGCATGTGTGAGGCCCTGGGTTCAATCCTCAGCACTGCATATAAATAAATAAATAAATAAAATAAAGGTCCACTGACAACTAAAAAGTATTAAAAGAAAAAAAAAAAAAGAACAGGGAGGTAGCCCAATGGTAAAGCACCACTGGGTCCAATCTCCAATACAAAAAAAAATAGGGGAAGAATGTGCTTGAATGTCCTCCTGTCCATGCTCTGTCCATGCTCTGGGAGCTGAATGACAGGTTAATGCAAAGAAAATCCAGAAGGGAGAGGCAGGAAAGAGAACCAGTGACGAGGAGAGACTGTGGATCCTGCAGAAGCCTTGATCACAATGACTCCTTCAGTGTGTCTAACCACATTTCCAGGGTAGGCTCCCAGAAACCTCGTCTGACTTCTAACAACATAGACTTTTATTTTCTTTTATTTTTTTAAACAGATTTGTGGAGGTAAAAGACTTGTACACTGAAAACTACACAACACTGCTCAGAGCATTAAAGACACAGGTAAATAGGAAGACATCCCATCTTCATGGATTGGGAGAATTCATATTATCAAAACGTCCACCCTACTCAACGAAGTTTACAGATTCAACGCAATCCCTGTCAGAATCCCAATGGCATCTTTTTTACAGGAATAGAAAAAAAAAAAAAAACAATCTCAAAACTCCTATGAGCCTATGAAAGAGAGAGAATAACCAAAGTGACCTTGAGAAAGGAGAGCAAAACTGGAGGCCTCACACTTCCTAGTTTCAAAATATCTACAAAGTCACAATAATTAAAAGTATAGGAGAGGCATAAAGACTCACATAGAGCCATGAAACAGATTGAGAGTGTCCAATTAAACCCACGCATACGCAGCTGATTGATCTTCAACAAGAGTGCCAAGATACACCGTGGGGGAGAAAAGACAGCCTCTTCTGCACAGCAACGGAAACAAGTGATACGGTGAAAAGCCAGCATCCCAGTTGAAGATAACCTGCCTTTTCCATCTCCCCACAGACCTTATAGCTTAAGTTGGGCCAGGTCCCTTTTCCAGAGAAACAGGTGGAAGGTCAGTGAGAGAGACCATGTGGGTAGAACCCGAGGTGTGGACTAGGGAGCTGTACACAGATATCTGCTCGCACACGGATGGGTGCCGGGATCATCACCAGCTCACAACAAGGATGAGCCAGATGCCCGGAGACGAATCAAAGACGAGAACGGGAGAGGACTCAATCTCTCCTGAGACCTGGCCACGCTTCTGCTTCCCGTCCTTCAAGCTGTAATCCCCATTTTGGGTGGAGTTGATCTGAAATGCCACCTAGAAAAACTGAACCAACCCTTTTTCCTGAAAGCAGAAAAGCCCACGCTGGAATGTTCCACGGGTGACCTTCGGGATTATACACCTTCCCTTTCCAAGCCAGGCTCTGAATTAGCACAGAAAAAAAAAAAAAAAAGAAATGCTGAATTAAAGTGAATCCCTCTCTACCTAACCTGTCTCCCATAGACAGTTTGGGCTGTTTTCATTACTACATAAAGATTCATAGAGAATGAAAAAACCAAAGTCCAAAAAAACCCCACAATACAATTCTCTGAACTCGCGCTGTCCAAGATGGCAGCCTATGCCCCAGCCATGGGCAACAGTTGAGCACATGAAATGTGACAAGGGCCAATCCAGATGTGCTACAAGCACAAAACAGAGAGTGGCTCTCAAACTTAGTAGAAAAAAAAAGGGCAAAATATCTCATTAATATTTTAAACAGATTATATGTTGATTTTTTTTTTTTTTTTTGGTACCAGGGACAGAACTCAAGATCACTTAACCACTGTGCCACATCCCCAGCCTTTTTATTTTTTTCATTTGAGACAGGTCTCGCTAGGTCACTTACAGCCTCGATAAATTGCTGAGGCCGGCTTTGAACCTGCAATCCTCCTGCCTCAGACTCCCGAGCCACTGGGATTACAGGCATGCGCAACTACACCCAGCAAGATATTTTTAATATAAAAGTTAAATTAAGCGTTATTGATTTTAGCTCTTCCTTTTTACATTTTTGACATGGCTCCTAGAAAATTCTGAATGATAGTGAGGCTCTCATGAATGAAAATGAGGCGCCCATTCTAGTGAAGGGGTGGCTCTGTGCTACATGCTGGGAAACCTCTCATGTAACGGACAGCAATGACCACTTGGAGGTGCTACTCCCATGTATGTCAACTGTTCCAACAGGGGTTTCCAAACAGACTCCCACACCTTCCATTAGCTCTGCCTTTCAGCTTGCCAGAGAGGGTCCCCAGCTCTCTGCCCTCGGACTGGCACAGCATGCCCGCTCCCCTACTACTAAACCTGGAAATCCTTCCCTCTCTTTCTCTATCTGAATCCTGAACTCAGCAGGGTCCCTGCCGACCTTGTCTACCGCAGTGCCCCTTAAGTGTACCACCACCATCCCCCCAACCCTGGCACACAGCAACAAACAGCGAATCCTGGGAAAGACTATCACCCTGGCTCTCCTGGATCCACCCCACCTTCCAACAGCTCCAAACTCTGAGAAAATGCAGCTCCACTTTCATGTGACACACGCTACATTTATATATAAAAATTCATCTGCAAAAAGGAAGCTGTGAATTAGAGTGAGAGAATCGCTGGACTAAATGATGAACGGTTATTATCCAACCCTGACCCACGTTGTTCAGCCTCAACAACTAATTCTGCTGCTCTCCTGGGCTTTGTCCTGGAAACACATAATCCAACATGGTTTCTGATCTTTAGTAGTTTATACACACTGAAATATCAAAAAACAGAACTATGGAAAAGCAAACAAAATGTTCATTGCTTCTATTATGTTCTAGAGTGCTGCAGAAACCCAAAGGGGTGTGACCCAGGGTCCCGTGCAGTTGTGTACTACATAACTTCAAAGAGCACCCCCCCACACACTGCACTCAGTCTCCCTAAATGGTATCCCCAGGAATTGTGTAGTGCACAACCTAAGCAGCCACACGTGGCAACTCTAAAGTGGTCTCTGGCTCACATTACTTCATCTAATTTGTACAACAGTCCTAGAAAATAAGTATTATTTCCCCTTTTACAACTAAGAAAAACAAGGCCCAGAGAGGTTAAACAGTTTTTCTGAGCTCACACAACTGATAAACGGCAGATCTTGGAATCCAACCCAGGTCTGCCTAAATCAAGGCTCTGTCCATACAATTCCTCAACCACTTTCCAAGGCAGCTCTCTGAAGTAAGAGGCTTTGTTCCTCCCTTACTATTGCAAGCACTAATTCTTTAGATTGTTAGGAACATTCTTATGTCCTAAAGAACATATATCCAAAAGTCAAAAAGCACAAAGTAAGACGGATCCCTACCAGGTCATTCAAAGACGTAACTCTGGCAAAGACACAGGGAAACGGAGATCAGAAGCAATGGAGCACAAATTCATAGAACTTGGTTTTTTCCCCAAGCACAAACACACACATGTGCAGCAAAGACCAGGCCTGAAAAGGTTACTGAGGAGGATCCCCTGCATAGGAAGTGTCTGCTTCCCCCGGCAGCTCCAGAGCTTGTTAACAGGGACGTACTCCAGGGAAATATGAAACTTGACTGAATATCTAACAATGATTTTTTAAAGGTCTTGTTCCATTTAAAGTAATATTATTGTAGCTATGTCTGAAAGAAAGAAGACGGGTGTCCCTGACTTGAAGTAATTCCTACTGAAATATTTACAGTTAAAAGTACACAACCATCAGAACTGGTTTAAAAGTCATCCTACATGGGAAAGGTGGCGGGGGCGGGCGGGAGTAAATAAAATGAGATTGGCCGAGTGCTCTTCACGCGTGTTCAGCTGGGTGCGTGAGTTTTATCATACGTGGCTACTTTGTGAGGATTTCTATAGAAATGTCTTTTTTTTTTTTTTTTTCCTTTTTTGGTACCAGGGATTGAACTCAGGGGCATGCGACCACTGAGCCACACTCCCAGCCCTATTCTGTATTTGAGAGACAGGGTCTCACTGAGTTGCTTAGCACCTCACTTTTGCTGAGGCTGGCTCTGAACTTCAGATCTGCCTGCCTCAGTCTCCCAAACCACTGGGATTACAGGTGGGCGCCACCACACCCAGCTACAGCAATGCCTTTTCAATGCAGGAAGAGAACTCCCTACTTGAAAGAAAATGTGGCAATATGCTATTCTACAAAGCAAGAGAAGCTCCTAGGATGTAAAAAATGAGACCCTCTTATTCTGCTCTTCTAGACGAATTTCTACAGAATGGGATACCAGTCGATGCCAATAAAAATAAACATATGGGGGCTGGGGTTGTGGCTCAGTGGTAGAGCGCTTGCCTAGCATGTGTGTGGCACTGGGTTCAATCCCCAGCACCATGTAAATATAAATAAATAAATGAAGGTATCGTGTCCATTTATAACAACAAAATTAAAATAAACATTTGGGGGGAAACTTAAAATATAGATTTCTAGGCTACATTTGCAAAGCCACTGGGTCCACCTGTCCAGGCAAGACCTCCCTCCTGCCATGCAGCTCACCTGTGATGCCAGTGACACAGGTGTTCTGGGTGGCGAGTGCCTTCTTTCCACAAGACAGGGTGGTGATGCTGAAGTTGTACGAGGTAGAGAAATTCAAATAGGTGACTTCTTTCCTGTACTCGGTGCCGTTCTCGGAGGTGCAGCTCTCCAGGTTTGTCACGTTGTCCCAGGCTCCACTGCTGACCTCTAGCATGAAGCCTTCATTGGTGCCAGGCGGGCAGGCCCATTTCAGAACCAAGGCTGGCTCTTTGGGGACCACTTCACAGTGGAAGGGGGCCACTGGGGCAGGCTCTGCAAAGCAAGCACAGTGCTTTGTGAGATTCTGGAACTTTTGCTTTTGCAAACATGCAGACACGGGGAGCAGAAGGATACTGGCCCAGCCATGATGAACAGACAGGCCTGAACTGAATTGGGCAACACAAGATAGTGCAGCCTTGGATCAGCCCCCACCTGCTCTGAGCCTCCACTGCAGAACTTTCTAGGGTCAGAGGAAACACTGGGTGTCAGTCTCTGAGCAAGTGGGAAGGCAAGCGGGCTCCCTGGCAAGTCCCATACTGTGAGTGGTAGCAAGCTCTTCACCTGCAACGCCCCACGTGGGGCCCTCTTGACAACTCTTTAGGGGCAAAGTAAGGTCCATACTGTTCCGTTTTTCAGATAAATCAGCTGCAGCTTAGCCAGGTGAGTCATATGCAGAACAAGACACAGCTGGGGATCAGCACCGCCAAAACTGGATCCCAGATTTTGCATGCTCAGGGCACTTCCTATCCACACAGCATGCTGAGGGATCCAGGCCCAATGGCATCAGTGTCTTTGCCTTGAAAATACAGTATTATGTGTCTCTGTCTGAAGACCAGCAGTTTCACCAACGGAAACATCAAGTTGATGTCAATGGGAAACTGTGCCCACATACTGGAGGAGGCTGTTATCAGTCATGCCACAGAATTCTAGAGCAGGGAAAGCTCTCACCAGTCACCTGTGTGGCTCCCACATCCCCCCTCACCCACCCCGAGGCCTGAAAAGTAACCCACCCAGTGCGCCCACTTCAACAGCTCTTGTTCCATCCACCATAAATAGGCGTATGAATTTTTTCTCTTGCTACAGGCTGCAATAATTATAGCTACGACAGGCATCAGCAGTGGAAGCCACCCAGATGCTGAAGATCAGAGACTAGACCAGTTGGGATGCAGCCCAAGTTGGCAGGGGTGACTCAAAGCTGCAGGTTTTGTAGCCACCCCATGGGAAAGGTCAGAGGCCAAAGGTCCTGCTCCAACACACAGGGGAGCCGTGGTCCCATGAGATTCCCACCTCGGAACCTGAACCCACTTGAACGATGTGGTCTAAGGAAGAGAGGCTGCAGGAGCTAAGGGAGCTGAGAATGAGGGGGTCCAGGGTAGAGAGGTGACAGCGCGCCACCATCAACAGAGAGCAGGAGCACTCATCAAAACCACCGCAGCGTGGGCTGGGGATGTGGCTCAAGCGGTAGCGCGATCGCCTGGCATGCGTGAGGCCCGGGTTCGATCCTCAGCACCACATACCAACAAAGATGTTGTGTCCGCCGAGAACTAAAAAATAAATATTAAAAAATTTAAAAAAAAAACCACCGCAGCGCCTTCCCTGGATGCTCTCTCAACACACCCGGCTAAGCACGGGCTCTTCTCCATCCCACCTTCTGAGTTGTGAGATGGGTAAAAATCAAGAAGGGAGAAAATGTTGAGCAATATCCTCTTCATCTTTTTCAATGGAAAAACCAGGCCAGGAACTACAAGGATGTGGTCCATGCCCCGGCCAGTCACCTCTAGCTCCTGTGGTCCACTCCCGCCACTGGCCTCCTGCTCTTCCTCCAGCACAGAGGCTCCCTCTAGCTTCGGGTGTGGTAGACCAACCTTACATGTGACTGAGTCACACTCCCCGGCTGGGTGCTGAGGCGCTCAGTCGCAGAAATGTGGCAGAGCTTTCCCCACCCTTCTTGGGTCCGAGGGTCGGTGCCTCTGCATGGGTGTGTGTTGCTACAGCCCCATGGGTGAAGCTACGCTCCCCTGTTCCTTTGTAATATAACCCTTTGCCTTGTTTAGGATAGAATCTTCCATGGAAGTGCTTGTGTGAGTCCCCTTCTCTTACTGTGCCCTTGGGTGTGGTCTACCCAGGTGTCAGTCAACCTGCTGACAGTGGACATCATGAAGATGGACTCAGCCCCTGAAACCTGACCCCTTGCCTCATTTGAATAGCTTCTCTTCAATAAAAGGGGTCAGCGCATGTGCTCGCTCTCTCTCGCGCTCTCTCTCTCTCTCTCTCTC